AAACCTCTAAGCCATGTCCTTTAAAAAGAAGATGAAATTAAAAAGGATAAAACACTTTAATAGAACAGTTAGAGGACAAAAATGAATTTTCCCAAAAAAAAGTTATATGAATGAGGCCTAAATTTCAAACATTAAGTTATAATACTTTCAGGATTAACAATTATTAAGATCTATTGTCAAATAGTATATTACATGTATGCTAAACTAAAACTAACCTCTTTCGGTACTCCGACCATCAAAGTATCAAGCAATAATTAGAATATCATTAAAACATTGATTTACTCGGGACAAAATATAATAATTTAGAAACCACAACTATCAAGAAATACAAACTATAACATAATTCACATGCTATTGCAGCAAAATAAGGAACAAAAAAAAAAAATAAGGAAACTTACCCATACCATTAAAAAAAATATAATTGAAGTTATTTATTAATGTTAATTAAGATCCAATGGGATTCTTTCATATACTTCCTCCTCCTTGAACTTCCTAATGCCTAAAAAACAAATATCATAAAGACTTTTTGAAGGTCTATCTCAAGTTTCTATATACCATGTTATCTATATCAACATTAGCTTCCTTAAATTCTCTTATCTTTTGTGAATACTCTAGAGGTAACCCGACTTTCCCACTACAACATAAATGGTATTTAACAACATTTAAAAAATGTTACTTAATTATGTATAAATGTTGCTAATTTATTTTAGCAACATATTATCAAATGTTATATATAGTTCATGTTACTAAAAACTTTTAGTAACATTTAAATGTTATCAAAGTAGTATTTTTGTAACATTTTAATAATTTTTTTGTAACATTTTAATAATGTTGCCAAGATTTTTTTAATCTTATAAAATAATAATTAATTTTAATTTAAATATTAATTTCAATTATTATATTTTTATGTCTCCTAAACTTCTAAGAATTCCTTAAGTTTTTAGGGAAATAAATTTTTAGTTAGTCACCACTAATTGTATATAGAATATCAAATTTTATTTATCTTAAATATAACTATATGAGTATATATACTCTTTATGAGTCATTAATCTATTCGATGTGAGACTTTATTTATGGGTTACAATTAGATATAAGAGAAATATATATTTTTTTACTCGATGTGGGATTTTGATTTTAGAAGCAATTATAGTAACATTTTTCAAAAAAATGTTGCAAAATAACTTATGTAAATTTTTTTTACTCGATATGGGACTTTGATTTTGAAAATAATTGAAAAAAATAATATTGAAATACAAAATATTACTTTATCTATAATGACATTTTTCAAAAAAATGTTACAAAATAACATATTTATATAATATATAGTAACATTTTAACAAATGTAAACAAGAAAATGTTGTTAAAAGATGAAAATCTAGTAACCACTTGGCTGTCAACTTTCCATTAGCTTAAATTACCTTAACTTCTTGTTTCCTAAAAGCTTACTATGCTAGACTTATATGTACTTCCACTATTTCAAACCTATAATTACACCAAGTTAGATTTGTATTATCCTTAACTGCGGACTCTAAATACATGATGCATAGAACTTTGAAGTAATTTTGTCCTTATATTGTTATATAAGAATGTTTTTAGGTTATGTTAATTATAATTACTTTTACGTAAGGAATTGACAAGGATAAGATAATGAACTTGAGCAAAACTCAAAAGTATGTAATGTGCTCAAGCTTACCAAAGTCTCACACATACATCAAAGTCTCGAGGGAAGGTAGAAACAGAAAAGAAAGAAATAAAGGAAAAAAGAAAGAAGAGAAGAAGAATGGAGAAGGAAGAGGAAGAGAAGAGAGAGAAAGATTAGAGACCTTAAGCTCTAAGGCATATCTTTGAGTCTTCTACAGAGGTGAGGGCTACACCTTTTGCCCTTCATTTTCATTTGTTTGATGTCTTTATATTTTCTTTTATTTTCCCCTCTTTTAAAATCACTTTGTACAATAAATAAAGCATTTGAGCTTCAAATAATGCAAATATAACATCTCCGTTCATTAAATGAAGTTCAGATCATTCAATTTTATTTTGAAATTCTTGACTCTAGAATATTCACCTTCATAGTGTCATATAAATAGAAAACATTTATGAAGAATAAAATAAAAGGCTTTATAGTGTCATATAAACAGAAAACATTTATGAATAATAAAGTACAAGAACAATGTAGTAAGAGTGATATGTATTCATAGCCAACATTTCTTTGGCTTGCATTAGGGATAAAATAGGTAATATGTAATTTATTGAAAATTTTTAAAAAAGTTGACATTGACACTAATCTTGCATAAGAACCTTACTCTAATCTAAACTTCTCATCAGCCAAAAAAAAAAATAAAAAAAATAGCCAGCATTTGTTTACTCTTTCATTTTTTTTTTTATAATTTTTTTATCACTTTTTTCCCCACTCTTTCCATACTTTAAAAATAATATTTAGAAGTTATCACTATTCGGATATGATACATCTTTAAATAATAATATAAATTATAATTATTTTGTTGATTTAGACACTTGGGGTGTGTGATGAGCCTTTAGAGATTTGATTAAAAATAACATTTGGATCGTGAATTTGGAGAGGCACGTGTAGTAAAACTTGAGATTTTCATAGTGAAAACTGCCTTAATTATATGTTGGGAACTAAACTTAGTCCTCAAATAATTTTAAGGTCAACAAGGATAAGATTTCAATATTTTTTTTTTAGATCTCAAAGTTAAAAAGGAAAACTGAAAAAATATATAAAAAATGTAGAAAAAAAAAAAACTTAGACTCCTGAATAGTAATATGCACTAACTTAAAACCTGATATTAATAAAGTCACCAAGGAGCCTACCAATTTTGTTAGTGGCACTACTATCAATTTAAACAAGATTTTGAAAATTAAAAACATCCATATGACAATTCTGGGATGTAGTTCAAGTCTAAGAAGAAGCCTGACATGAAATTTAATTTTTTTTTATTCAATTTGATATTCTTATACTTTTTGTATTACATGTTATCATAGATATGAAGAAGTAAAAGTAGCCTCAAGAATAAACCTTTAAGGACCCATAAAAATATAAATATTTAAAACCATTGATTATTTTTTATTTTAAACATCCTTAATAGGAAGGACAAAAAAACGATATTTAGATGATGCATATATATATATTTCAACTCATGACTAGAAGAAAAAAAAATCTTTATATTTCACATATGAAGGTGAAAAGTTGTTTTTGGAGGCAACCAACATGATAAACTCATTGGCATCAATTCTTGACCAGTTTATTTGGTTCTTGACCAATGCTTTGATGTCAACCACTTGACTAATTCACTAGGCAAACTCATCGATTTTATCTAATTTTTAAAGGAGTATAGTAAACACAATTTTTGTAATAAAAATGACTAAAATATTTAAATCATGTAATTTTTTTTAACCTATACGTATTGGCTTCTAGGAAATTTTTTTAGTTAATTGACTGGGTATACAGGTATTTATTTTCTTATAAAACCCATAAAAAATAGTAAAAAATAGTTAAATTGATTATTAGATTCAAGAAAACCAAGTTAACTTTTTCTTGATCACAATATTGTAATTAAGTATTTACAGTTAAAAATAATGACTAATCTCTATTAAAAAAATCAAGTTAATTTTATTAGTAGAATCAAACTTTAATTAAAAAAATAGTCGAGTCCATGTTCATTATTGGCATGCTTTGATTTTAACACTTTAGCATGAGGTGATTTGCTCATGTGTTAACTTTTTATAAGCACAATAAAAAGAAAAAGTGAATAAATATTTGAGAGTAAAGCTTATTTAAGAATTTTCAAGCTTAAAGTTTTTCAATATCAATTTGTTGAGCATACTCTCAAATCAAATAATTAAGTCTTAAAGTAATACATATGCATAACATATTATTGTTTACGTAGGAAATAAACAGAAATACAATTGCATTATTACAACAGTTAACAACTAAGATTTTAAAATTCGAATGGAAGAGCTAATTGGAGAAACTTTTAAAACATAATTCATTTGATTGAACTATTTAAATTAGTAGTTTCACAAATATTAAACTAAAAACTTTGTAAATAGTAATTATCCAAAAAAAAAATCGATTTGTGTTAAGAAGGTTTTTATCGATCTGTTTAGTTTGATTTTTAAAATGTTAATAAATAAATAATTCAAATGAAAAATTATGTTTAGAAAAGTACTCAAAGAGTTAAAGTGTGTCTGCTTAACCCCAAGCGTGTGGTTCAGCGGTAGGGGTTGATCCACGCTTAAGCAAGGTCAGGGGTTCGAATCCTGCCTTGTGTATGCAGCCGCGTTAAATCTTGGGGCCAGCTATCCCACCCTTTGAGGTGCCTCCAACGTAGCGAGGAGATTAGTCACTGCTGTCGGCGGTGGATACTCCAGGAACGAACCTAAAAAAAAGTGTGTCTGCTTATTTTTATTTTTAAAAGCTATTTTACAATTTTCAAAAATTAACTTTAAATAATAAAAATGAAAAGAAAAGATGAAGAAAAAAAAACTTCAAGGAAAACATGAATAAAAACTGAAAATATAAAAATAAAACTAGGATATATATATGTTTTTGATTTTTTAATTTTAAAAACTACTCTTAAAACAATTTTCAAAATTGATTTTTAAAGAATAAAAATGAAGATATAAAGATGCAAAAAAATACAAAAGAAAAACAAGAATATTAAAAATGGAAATTAAAAAATTATGACAACTTATAGATATTTTGATTTTTTTTAAATGTGAAAGCCAAAAAAGGGATAGTTTTGAAAATAATTTTCAAAAAACTATTCATAACAAAACGATTTTTTTTTAAAAAGTTTTTTTTTTATTTTAAAAACTCAAAAAAGGGGAATTTAGAAAATTATTTGAAAAACATAAAACAATTTTTAAAAAATGGGAAATAAACAGACCCAGTTCCCCCTTAATGTCAATGTAAAGTGTAAACGGATCACAGCTGAAACCATGGAAAACAAATAAATAAAAGAGTAGCATAGATCACCAAGGAGACGAAAATGAACAATTTAGCTTCATTTAAAATTGTCTATGGATATTTTCTGTGTACACAAACCTATCAGCACGGTAGGGACTATTCTTAACCTATAAACTCCACAAAATATACCATAACTCTTTCATACAAAAGTATTAAAATTGAAAACTCAGTTCCTTCCTCTTATAACACTACATTATATTACTATTTACTAACATAACAGACAAAACTTTGTTCTTCAGCTATCTTCACAAAACAAAACTAACCCCACAGCAGTTTCATTGGAGTCCTTGCAGTCTAAGGTCTTTGATACTTGGCCTTTATATTCATTTACATAGCAGCAGGAGAAGGAACCTCCTTGGGCACATAAACAAAATTTCCCCTACGTCCTCCTCCTCCTCCTCCTCCTCCACCTCTATAGTTTCTTCTTCCCCTATTCACATTATGATACTCATTACCATTATATGCATTATTGGACCATGGCATGCTTTCTCTCCTTCTGTTGTACCCTTCCCATGTTCCACCCCAGTTACCATTCCCACCATGTCTTCCTCTTCCATAGTGCTCCCTATAGTTCCCTCTCCAAGGGTCATTCCTAAAATGTTGCCATTCATATCCTTTTGAATAATCAACAGGAGCATAATACTGTTGCTGTCCAGATTCTGCTACTAAATTACTTGCATGCAGATTTGGATGCCAAACTTGGAAAGCAGTGTTTGGAACAAAAGGCTTTGAAGCTTCGGCTTCGTCATCCCCCCACCCAGTAGGTGGAATTCTCTGCTCATTAACGAATAGGGAGCCACCAAGAAGCACAACCTCATTTATGACTTCCTCAATGGGGGCCTTTGCTTCACTTTCCAAGTCCTCATAGAGTTCAGGGTCAAGCCTTGCTTCCCAGTCCACATCGTCTATGTACATGTCTGGATCAGGCAACGATAAGTTGCATTGGAGGCCGTTTATCTCAGCCCAATACCTCGCCTTCGCATTGTCAAAAGCCTCCTTTCCAGCAGTGTCATCCCAGTTGACTATATGTTCAAACAAATGCATATACCTTTTGCTCTCTACTAGCTTCCGCCATGGAACCGAGCCGATAGACGAACAAAACTTTTTCTCCCAAGCTGGCACTGTTGATTGCCAATTTCCTGTGAACCAAGAAGAACAAGAAAATCAGTTGATAATTAATGAAGCTCCTACTATCATTGCAAGAGTGCATAACAAAAGGTGTGTTGCAGTCTAAACAAAATAGAAAACATGGTTAGACAAAAGGAAAGCCTGGAAAAAATATGTAAAATTGGAAGGAAAAGGCCACACAAGAATATATGAATGCATTTTTATGAGAAAATATACATCAGAACCAGCATCATACATAAGCACTAATTAAATCTCAAACAAAAGAGTCCTGTGTTACTTTGTATGCAGTCCATCGTCACATCATGCATTACTCATAGGTGGAGAAAAGGAATGAAAAACATGAAGAGAAAAGGTATAAATAATTCCACTGTATATCTAGAGCAACAATTACTTTGTATTTTTTTTAATTCAAACGTGTCAGCAAAAAATATTTAAATAATAAATACCTTGTTAGTAAGTGGCAATATCGACAGCTTCAGTTCAAAACACAACAAAAGCCGACATTTTTACAAAGCAAAAGGAGCAAAGGATCAATCACCAAGATTTCCATTTCAATAATTTAATGATGAAAGCATTGTTTCAAACAATCAAACACGTCTCCAAAAAATCCCATTGGTGAATACCTCAATGGTTTTAGTTTAGAACACTACACACCGAGTTATTGCAAGAAGAATTTATATAAACTAAACAGGGAATTCAGTTAGCCTTGTAAAACTCTATTTCAATTAAAAATGGATGAACAGATCAAAAGATGCTCAGTTCAAAATTGCCAAAATCAAAGCAGTTTTTGGCTCAAAAAGCAACTGAAACCAAAATCATTACATGTAAAAAAGAAACTACAAAAGGGAAATTAGTTTACCCCAGGCTTCACCAATCTGATAAGGTGAGGTTTTATTTACAATGTGCACTACAAGATTCAATGTCTAGACATACACTTGAAATTTTCCCAATATAAGTTTGGCTTCAAACCTTAAAGCGCACACATAAAAATTACTACAGAGCAGAATTTGCTTAGATCCACTACAAAAGAAACCTTAGTCATGCATGTTAACCTTGCCCATTTCAATAATTCAATGACATTGGGACCGATCAATTATGATGAGCATGCAAAGAATCGATACCAACAAACTACAACCCAACAACCTACCAACCAAAGAAATGACAGCACCTGATAATCTTAGAGACCCTCCTTTGATAATTGAAGTTCTTAGTTACTTTCATTGACAAGGAAACAAATCCTAAGCCCTCCATCATAGCCCCACCCAGCCCTTATCACTTGAGTCACACACAACACAAACACAACAAAGTAACTTGAAGCCTAGAATGACCAACCTCACAGCCTCCGATCACAAATGAGGCAAAGGCATCATCATAACAGCACCATCAAACCACACCTCATCCAATTGTCAAAATTAAATAAAATTGGCAAACAAAACAAAACAAAAACAAAATTCAATGTACATCCATCTAACTAAAGCTAGTTCCTAGAAACAGACGATTACCACAAAACTAGAAATCCACAAAAGGGCAAAGAATGGCCAAAAAAAACCACAATTGATCATTCAAAACCAACCATTTTAAAAGAAAAATAAGGGAACCCCACTTTGCCAAACCAAAAAACCCCAATTAAAACCACTCAAAAGCAAACGATCATGATATGTGCAGCAATTCTACACCCACTTCTTAAAAAGAAGAAACAAAACCAAAAGAGTAATAACAATCCATGCAAAAAGAATTAAAAACAGCGTCAGAAACCAAACGAAGAAAAAGAGTACTAACCCAACGGTGGCTTTCTGTTATAAGAGGGGGATCGCCAGTGACCCACATGATGATGACTCTGACCTTGTTGTTTTCTCCAATTAGCCATGTCAAGAGAGGAAAAAGAGAAGGACCCAGAAGAGGAAATTGGAAAGGGGTGGTTGCAAACAGAGCAGAGGCACAACACAAGAGAAAAATTTGCAAACTTTGGCAAAAGAAAGAAACGGGCACGGATTTCAGGAATTACCTCAGCATAGAGAGAGAGAGAGAGAGAGAGAGTTATGTGGGTAAGTTTATGTTTGGGGACAGCACAGCACAACACAAGACACACACTCTCTCAGACACAAACAAAAGAAACGGTGGAAGCAAAAGGTGGAAGAAGAAGAGCATGAAATTAAGGAGCTTTTGGAAGAAGGATCATGAATGAATGGAATAAAACGAATGAATCAATAAATGAATGAATGTGCTGTGTTTATGTGAAAATTGTGACCCTCTTACTCTCAGGTTTTTCTTCTCACACTTTCTTCTAAGCGTTTCCTTCCATGAGAGACCCTATCATATTCGCTTCGCTATTTATAGCACATGGTTTTCATTGTCCCTCTTTGCTTTGTTTCTGTTTCATGAATCATCATTATTATCATTTACTTTATTACTTAATCTATGATATCATACCAATATTCTTCATTTTTATAATAATAATTTAATTATATTTCATTACGTTCTTTCTCTCTTTCTCTCTCTACACCTGGTCTTGGAAGTTTTTATTTTTCCTTCTTTCTTTCCGTTTCTTACTCCATTTTGACAAAAGTAACAAATCCCTTCAAAATCTCATGATAAATTGATAATCTTCTTCATTTAAGAAACAAATATTTGAGGATAAAAAAAAACAATATTCTTGAATGAAATTATATTTTAACAAAGGAAGGGTTGCTGTTTTTTTTTATACCATATCTAACCATTTAACATTCCACGATTTTCGAAATAAGAAATTATAATTATGATTAAAATAAATATTTTTAATTTCAATATTTATTATTTTTCTATTTTTTTGTCTTTATATTTATATATATTTTTTACATTGTTTCTTTTGTGTTAACGTGAAATGGCAAAATAGGTCAATCTTACTAATTTATGCACAATTTGTTGTTGACCAACTAAAAATAGGCGGACCTGGCTGGCTCGCCCGC